CGACGATGTTATCGACACAAGATATTAATATTGTATGACGGACTAGCCTATGTTCGATTGGTTTAGACCAATGCTCGTATCTCTGCTTATGTGATCTTCGTGTAATTATGGATAGTTGAATGCTGGTTGTGCCTCTGGTTAAGAAACGATAGATTCTTCAGAACATTTGCTGTATTGAGGTAAAATGTGTTGGCGTTGTCCATTGATTGTCTGGACATGTGTTCCACTGCGAAACCTTACAATAGATGGAAAATCACCGACTTTAGTCGTCATTACAAAATTTAAAAAAAAGGAAAGCAGTAAACTAAGTCCTGAAATTCCTACACGTCTCTTCCTATTACAAGCAAGGTTTTGCTCCAAGTGCGAGGATCTTAGCAACTTAGACCACCAGAAGATATCTTCAGGAGAAGACAAAGATTCCTGATAGCTTTTATGAAGTATTAGATATTTTCGATATAAGCTATCTTGGATGAGTCTGGACTGAAAGAAAAAATGTTTCCCACAGCTGCTTTCTTTGATGACATGGACATTGGTAAGAGAGAAAACATTTTTTTTGGCTGCCATCGTGGAAGAGCTTTAAGGAGAACACTAGTGATCCTGAAAACAAAAAATTAAAATATAGAATAGGAGTAACACGGCCTATTTGTCACAGTGGCATGCGTACTTCTCTGTAATAGATTGCCCGAATCCGCATTGCCTAATGAAAAGGTAGGATGGAGAATAAACAGATAAATGTCTTATTTTGCTCAGGTTTTGTTATTTTTATAAAAACTGAACATATATCCATAATTTACATAATATACTGCTTATATAATAATTTACAGAATAAACCACTTGAGAGAGTCTAGGCCCTCCTCCGTGGCACCCTCACTCATAATGCAGGTTGTACATATTATGGAAAATCATGTTTAGAACAAGAACAACCAAAAAAAAAAGGCGAATTTATAAAAAACTGTGTTTTGGATATAAGACGAAGAAGAAATTGCGGTTTTGCCTGTTCCAGGTAACATTTTTCTCCACTGATAATGAGAAGAAAGGAACCCGTCTCTCAGAATAGAATGTCTTGAGTGGTGGCGTTGGCGCTGAAGAAGGATCTGTGCACTGCCAATACAGGAGCTGCTGCGAAATGAGCGAAAGTTACGGATGTTCAGGTATCATTAGGCTGTTTCTCGGTATCAGTGAGATTTAATTTCTCTTCTGTACAAGGAGTGGTGCCTAGACTTAAATGTTATATCCGTCTAGGCTAGGAGAAGATTGCTTCGAACCGATTGCTTTAAAATATTCAGTTCATTTCTTAAATGAGGGAATAATTGAAAGCCTTTAAATAAGTATTTTGAACATGTTCCATAACAGCTAAGATTTTGTTCAAGAGGGCCAACCTTAATTCACCCCTATCCCTTTTGCAATAGAAGGCAAAAGTTTTGTTAAATTATGTTAGGAAATATTTATTAAAATAAATATCATCATATATTAATATAAACTCTTCAATATGATTTAATGAATTCAGGTAGAAATGAGCAAAAAACAGAAATACATTTTCCTTTTTCCTTATAGAGACAAACATTTCTTATTAAACCCAAACATACAGTTTCATACGAAATTTGCTTCCTTCCTAAATTCTGTCGCCTGAGCAGAGAGACCGCTTTGGCCTCTCCTGTTCATATCTGCATGTGTTTTAGAAAGATAATACAACGATAATTGATAATCTTAATTTTTGCAGAAGTAAAGATATTTATGTTCAACTGACTATTTCGTAAAATAAATATTATTGCTACTAATAAACAAGAAAAGTAACAGTTATTTTTATTTTGTTCGAAAAATAATAATTTTTACGGTAACCTATTTATTTAAAATTTAAAATAAGTAAATATGAGTAGCCATTTCCTTCAATCTTTGCCTGCCACTAAGATTAAGTCGCAAGCTGCACGACATGAGGCAAATTATTTTTAGATTCAAAGGAAATGTGTTTAAAATTTTTAAGTAAATGGTACACGTTTCAGTTACGGTCTGTTAAACCACCAAATTAATTCTATTTAAAAGCATTCAAACATAAATAGCATAAAAAAATAGTGTTTATGTTTTAAACGACATAATACATTGATCCTAATATGTAATACTTTAATATTATTTGCTTACTTCAACCATTTATTTTAGGAAATTACGAAAAGTATGGATTCCCATGTAATAACTGCTTGTGAATTCAATGCATATTGGTCTGTCTAATGGGACAAAATAATTAAATAAATAACTTCTACTTTATTGTAAAAAGGAAATTTATTTTCGATAATGTTTTTGTACCCAATTAAAAGATAAATTTCACAATACATTTTAAATCATAAACTGAAAGATCATATTTTATTTCAAAAATAAATTAAATATATACAATTGAATTATTTACTTAATTGAGTTACAAAAGCTATAGATATAAAAAAATATAATGACATCACTTAATACGTTCAAATCTCTTTCGTTCTCACTGCTGGAGTTTGCAGTATTACTGATCTTGGATCTCCGTTGTAAAATAATTGAATCTTTTTTTAGTTTTATTATTAATTATTTTTAATCAGCCATTTTTGTTTTTATTCATTTTAATAATGTCAATGTTTTTAAGATAAATGATAACATATACTACTCCGTAAACACCAAAAAAAAGGAAAATAGCAAAAAATATTTACTTTTTTAATTAATAAATTATTAATTCTTTATTAACATAAGTAATTAGTAATAAATAAACCTGTTTAAAAAGATTATAATGAAAAATATTTTAATATGCCCATGTGATTGCCATCATTATCGCTCCTGGTCTTTACAATTTGCTGTTCTTCTTAAGTTCTCTCAGACATTTATTAGGGTCCTGAAGGTTGAATTTATTTCATATATAATCAGAGAAGATATAAAGGTATTTCTGTATAGTTCAATTGATAACTTTTTGTCTCATTAGACAAATACAGAGCTCATTTATGTTAGTCACAGGTTATCCAATAAATAATATTTCAGTACAATTCATAATCGTATTTTGATGTGACGCCGAGTGAGAGAGTTGAAAAGCGGATAAGATAACGCCAAAAAAAAAAAAAAAAAAAAAAAAAAAAAAAAAAAAAAAAAAAAAAAAAAAAAAAAAAAAAAACGAAACAAATAATAACGACTGTTTTGAACATCTGGATTAAAATATCTCATTACAAGTAATTTTGAGTCGACATTTCAATGTACATTACTCAAAAGACACTTCGAAATCTTTTGTTTGATTTTTCAAATCAACATTAGATGTTGTCGAATGATCAAAATGAAGTGCAACAAAATATGGAACGATGGAACGAGAGTTTTAGTTATTTAGCAAAAAATTCTATCAGAAGCATTCGTCGCATATTTTAGTTATCATGAACCCATTCTTTCATATTTACGTATGATACAAATGGCGATCATTCAGAGCAAAGGTTGCCATTGTAATTTATACACAATCATAATTGTATATATTGTAAATCTTATTACTTTGTGAATATATAACAAAAAACGTTTACATACAATTATCATTTTTTATATTATTACTTGGTGAATTTAGAGAGAAAAAGATATTTATATTTCGTATTATTAATTACGACTTGTTGATGTTTTCACTTCTATTATGTGTTCTTAAGCACACACTATAGGTTTTTTATTTTTTATACTAGCAGTTATTTTCTTTAATTTTTCATTACACAAACTACAAATACGAATATGTTAAGCAACATTAATTTAAGAAATGCTATAACCGAAAAAAAAAATTAATGAAGACGGGTTTAAAAATCCTCCAATTTATCGCCCTAAAACCCCTACCCTAACTACCTTCTATTAAAAATAGAAAATATTTTATTCTTGGGAGAGGTGGAAAAACCATTTTGTGCTCAGAATCGAAAATTGTCGCTCGGTTTGTATGTTTTAAACTTAAGGCCCTGGCTATAATAGATTCGTAATTCAACCGATCAGAAATAGGTCAAATAGTCTAAAATAATTTAATCTTATTCCATTTAAAAATTTAATATTAATTTACCAATCGTTAAAATATAATGACTATGAAATGTGTTGAGTTTATATTTATATTTATTTTATTTTATATTTATATGCGGTTATAAATGCTAGACTATTTTCGAAAATTTAATTCAAACTGCTTGGATGACCCATATAAGACTAAACTTGAGAAACGGGAATAACACTTACAGCCTTGAGGATTGAAACTTTTTAGGAAAATAAAAATGCATTTTAACAGTTTCTATGAAACATAGGAAAAAAGTTTTTAAAATAAAAATCCTGAGGAAATATTTTCGTAATAATGTTCTAGATTTATGGTGAAAGTTTAATGTGTATTTATTCAAGTTTAAAAAAAAAATCTGTTCAATGGAAAATAAACAGTAATTGGACTTAGAGTTATACTTTTTCTTTAATGAATAACACAAGATTCTAATGTGTACTTGAAAAATTATTAAGAGGAATGTTCTAGTTTCAAAAGAACTGACAAATTATCGATAGTAAAGGTTTTTTAAATTTCGTTTCCTTTTGTTGCATAGGTTTGCCTTTTTCCTTGACGAGACTATATTCCAAAATTTACTTCTCCCATAGATATTCTTTCATTGCCAACGATAAATTATAGAACTTAAAGTATTGATACTGGTACTTAATAGCCAGAACTAGTCCTGCAAGTGGGCCTTTTCGTGGTCCTGTTTGCAAATTCCCGACGGTTACTTTGACGTAGCCACCGCGTACTTACTAAAATGGAAATGTCAAGATTCATTTCCCGGGGCCTCCGAAGGGAATCGAACCCACAAGTTCGAACCGGGCACTCTGGGACCCACGCCCCGACGTGCTCAGCAATCCTGTCCTCGAAGTATGGTTAATTATGTAACCAAAAGAAATGGAGAGGAAGATATATCGGACCTCCTTGGCAGACTTTTCTTTTTACTATATCTAATCCTCTCTAATATCTAATGTGTCACTTGCCTTTCGGTATCTTCCTAATCGTTTATTAGTCAGGGACCTTATGTCTGCTCACCACAGAAGACACCAATCTTAAAGACCCTCAGCGGTCGATGACAGCGCCTCTAGCGGTGCTTCTCTCTAAGCATTCGCTATAACACTATTGCGGCCTGCCTTCTATGCTTCAGTGTTAGGCCGGTTGCCCGTCAAAGAGGATAGGTGAGTCAACAATTTTTTTTTTAATTATGCCACATTAATGGTAATAATTTAAGTGTTTATAACCAGGAAATGAATTTGAGAATTAATTTTGTAGGTAAATCAAAATATAACATTTTTTTGTATCTAAAGTTCTAAAAATCGCCTATGATTAAAAAAAAAAAAAAAATAATTGTTAACCAGTATACATTTTGGGAAAAATTATTAATCTATTAATTGTCCGAAATAAATGTCAAGCTCCTTTAAAAGATTATTTGTTTTGATTGGAAATATAAACATCACTCCACGAGCAATTTTTTTGGGCCATACATAATTGTTATTTTTGAGCATTTTTTTTTTTTTGCTCAAAATAAAACTCCAAATGCTTTATTATGCTTAAAATTGGAGTTGGCGAACTAAAACTGGTTTCATTTGAAGTTCAGCGTAATCAAAGCTTTGCAAAAATAGCCCACTGGTATTTTCCCAATAAAAAAGTAATATTTAAGTTTGGAAAAAAATTATAATTTTTTTTATTGTTTCATATATAATATCTCGAAAAATAAACTTTCGCATACATCCAAATAAGTTATATTTGAATTATATTCGAATGCGAGTCGAATTATATTATTTTTACAGGTACCATTTTGGCACCTTCATAAGTTCAACTGATAACTTAAGATAACACGAAGACTAGTAAAGTATTAAAGTAAGATACGATAAAGCAAAATATAAATAAACCTTTGTATTAATGTAAGTAATATTTTTTTAAAACTTATTTTAGAAGAATAACTTTGGGTTGAAGATGAAATAGATCGATAAAATATTTCTTGGGATCATATTTCGTTTGACGATTACTTAAATGATTATCATATCAAAAGATATTTCCTGCTAAATACAATGAAATCACTCTCAACAAGCTTATTCAAATTTTAAGCAAAATGCAAGGTCCAAGATTTAAAAAAAAATCAAAAATTAGAGTTAAAGTTTCCTTACATTTTATCATTTATCATTAATTGTGATAATATTATGTCAAATAAATTAGATTGATTGTCGAATCAAATCGAAAATTTTCAAAGCATAATAATTAAAATTAAGTCATGATTTGACTCCTGGTTATGTAAAATAAATTGCTTTTTCAAAGAATAGAAAAATAAACTATTACATGAAACGAAGTAAAGCAGAAAATAATGTAAGATTTTTTTATTTTTTATTGCTATATGAATATACTTCATAATTTGAATTTCGGACAATTGATTGATAACAACTTATCAGTGCCACTTTTTCTGTTCGAGATGCATCTTTGTAACATAATCATATTTAGTATCAAAATTTATTTTTAAAAATCATTATTAAAATATAAGATGACTCAGCTATTAGGTGGAAAATTAATATATTTTGTTTTTTTTTGAAAAATAGAAGGGAAAGATCCATTCGTTAAAAAAAAATACTTTTTTTTCCAAAACTGCAGAAAATAAAAATCTTGTTTATAAACTTATATTTATAATATATGTGAGTGTATATTTTTAACTGTGGAATTCATCTTGACTACGCTTAGAAGGCATGTATGAAGTCGAGATCAACCGTTACATCAGACAATCGCTGTTCATCAGGATAATGCTTAAAGCATGTCACATCTTAGATTGGAACCATTATTGTATTAAACATTAAATAAATCTCCGAGAGATTCGATAAGTAGTTTTCGCAGATCTATTTCGGTTCGAATTTTCTATCATTACGTAATTAGAGTAAATCATTTACGAAATTTCCTACATTTCTAATTAGTGCCGTAATTTAGTAGGCTAACGACCATACTGATTATATGTTTCTCATTCGGATGGTAATTCTTCTGGCACACTATTACGGCCAATCAACCGAATGCGAATCTGTTTCGATTTCGGTGAAGGCGATGTCCCATAAAAATAAATGACTATGATTTGCCAAGGATTCGTATTTGTGAAGGACGTGTGACTTTCGAATTTAAAAGATTAATTATATATTTTAAAAAAATCAACTTCTAAAGCGCTCTCACTTAATCTCCACTGGCTTTAGCACCAGTGACGTAGTTGAGTGAGGATCATTTTTCTGGGATTTTAAGGAGCCCTGCTTTCCCCTCTATTGTTGGAGGGATGAGCCTCATCTGATTGTTTATAGGTAGGTCTGTGATTTTTTTTTTTTAAATTTACTTACCTTCGAGTTATTTTTTAAATTTATTGTATATACTTTTTCATTATTATCAGTTATTTTACTTCTGTTTATTTTATATTCTCTGTAGATAGAGTTATGCAGACTTATGCACTATAGTTATCTCACTGTAGTGCAGACTTATCTCACTATAGTTCTTGTGCATGTCACAGAATATTATATTACTCAATAAATAAATAAAAAATAACTAAATAAGTTTTTAACTTTAAATATGACAAATTAAACATGAAAATACACTTATTGTCTCAACTAATTGTAATATTTCATCATTTAAATTCTAATTTCAACTTTTTCTCATGTGATTTTTTTTTTTTTTTTTTTGTGAACTTTTCGGTGAAGTCTACCTTTGAACTATTTTCCAGGCATCATTGGGCCTATATCGTATTTCCGTCACTATGCAATCTAAAAGTTTGTCATTCTTCTTACTCACATCATTATCAAAATATATGAACAATATGTAAAACGATACGTTGAATCACAGGCTGGTCTACAGGCGGTGGGGAGGGGAGGAGTGAGGAGGGGGCTTTCGAGCTGAAATGGTAAAATGTGACCATTTTTTATGGTAAAAAATTATCTCTTAAAATATAATAACACGTATAATTATATTTAATAGGACTTCAAGAATCACGTAAATATCATTTCATATAGGTGGTTAGTACCCTTTTTTTTTTCCAAAGTAACTGTCAAAGAAATATATATATGTATATGTATATGTATATATATATCCCCCCTAAATTAAATCCTTGATCCGCTAGTGTGTTGAGTTGTTTAGTTAGTCCAACATGCTTTCCAGCCCAGGAGCTCCTAAGGCTTTCCTAACCTCTTTCGTAAGATGTGGACAGCAGGTGTTGATAATTCCACTTCACTTCCTTTTATTGAATGAGCTGCCTTTATCTGGAATACCTGTCGACCTTCGTTCTGTAGTAAGCACATTCTATGCTCTCGTACGCTAAGTTGTGCGCTTAATAACTTATTGAGGAAAAAACTACAGGGATTGAATAACATCTACGCACAGTGAATGGGATAATGATACTTCGCCTTGATTTTATTTTTCTTTAACGTATCTATATATATATATTAAATAATATTTATACTATTGATGATTTGTTTCGATCTGCTCAATATTGAATAACATTTTAATCAGGGATATTTTCAAACAAATCCTGAGCTAAGTATAGGATTATAGGGAGACATCAACAATATTGTTTATAAATAGTACACAAAAAACATTATTTATATTAATTTATAATCTTAATGGCATTATTTGATTCATAGTTTGCTATATAGACTTTTGTACACATTTAATGTGGCGAGAAATAAATAGTGATTTATTATTTTTATTGATGGAAGCTAGTCGACTGTTCTACATATCATGGGTGATAAATATTCAGGACGCAGTCTTTTTTAAAAAAAAAAATTCAATATTTATTTGTGCCAACGTTTCAACCCAAACTTGTGGGTCATCTTCAGGGCTGAAAATTTTAAAATACAATCAGAGATATTATATTATACGCCCGATAGTGGTAAATAATAAACTATAGTGATTTGATGGCACATGAATCTTAACTAATATTACAATACACAATTTTAAAAATGGAAAGGTAAATCGTTACACAAACTAAAAGTAATGTAAATAATCCATTCATACAAATTTGTAATATTTTCTCTAACTAACCGTGGTTTGAGCACTGACGGTGTTCAATTACTGACACATTTGATAGGTAAATGAAAAGGTCAGGGGGGAAGGATTTCCCAGTTGTAATTTTTCAGATAGCAAAAGTTAGGTAAACATAGTCAACAAAATACACATATGAAATATTTAATCAGCAAATTATTTACATTCTACAAACAGAAATGTTTCCTCCCTTCCCCTCTGACTATGTTTATCTACCTTTTGCTATCTGAAAACTGGGAAATCCTTCCCCCCTGACCTTTTCATTTACCTATCGAATGTGTCAGTAATTGAACACCCTCAGTGCTCAAACCACGGTTAGTTAGAGAAAATATTATAAATTTGTATAAATGAATTATATATATTATTTTTTATTTTTAGTTTGTGTAACTATTTACATATTTCATTTTTAATATTGTCTATTGTAATATTAGTTAAGATACATGTACCATCAAATCACTATAGTTTATTATTTACCATTATCGGTCGTATTTTTTTCAGAGCTAATTTTGGAAAAACGCAAAAACTTATTTGGGTCCAACTATTAATATTTCTGGTCTTACAAGATTTTGAGTTGCGCTCCGTTTGTATTACCGAAACGCTGTTTATAAATTTATTAAACCTTCATTATTGCTATGCTTAGTCCATCAAATCATTGTAATTATTTATTTTGATTATTATATTATGAAATAATATTAAAAAATATATGAAAATTATTGATTTATTAAGTGATTATTTATAATCATCAAAGATTATATTTAACTAATTGAATTTCAAATGATTCACAACATTTATAGGTGCAACAAATATATTGGTATAAATATAGTTAAAAATCAATATGTAATTCCTAGACTATGAAATTTAATATTTTTAAGTATTACTAAAATTTAAAAAAAAGTTCAAATAGTTAATTAAAGTCATCATCATGAAAGATTATTTCAACATTTTATAAAACATTAATTTCTTTTTTTTTTTTTTTTAATTTTCAAAACCCCTTTATTGTTCTTTGTTGTTTTGCATTAAATCTTGCTTTCATTTTTCTCATTTTTCTGCAGAGGCACTGCATTTTAAGGAGTTTTTGATTTCTAT